GCAAGGCTTCATCGGCTGAGTTTTGGGAGACTCCTTACAAGGGTTAATATTCGGGTAGAAGTGTACAGAAACCAATGAGAATTTCCCCGCAGAATTTCCATATTGTCACCAACACATGTGGTTGAAAGCCCCACACAGTGTGGGAGGAGAACGCGAGAAGTGTGATTGGCATTTTGCATGGAATTGCTGGTTTCAGGCGATGAATAACGTGAATGTAACAGTGAAGGCCAATAATTTATCTTGTACAGTATTCGATCCGTTCACTAACCGAACAGTGTAATAGGTTAGGGGAGTGGTCTGTCTATCCGAAGGTCCCTGGATCGAATCTTGGTGGTGCTATTTTAGAAATGACTGCTCTCGTTCGGTCTGCATATTCGAAGCGTTTCGGTTGTCGGAGAAGCGACAGGACGTATTGCAAACGTAAGTGAGCAGAAGAGAAATATGAATAATTTCGAGGCGCGCGGTCACGGGATTTTACTTGTAGGGTGCGACAGTTCCATCTGGCCGGACGAATCGGTGCTGAGATCTTCGATTGGAGACGCGGAGTTGATCAAACGGCGAAGGTAAAAGGAATTGGTGTCGGCTTCCTGAGTATCGAAACGTTTTTCAGCCGGGTAATTTATTCCGTACTAAATCGTGCGAGAAGATTATAGATTCTGTGGACCACAGCAACCATGAGGCTAATGTGGTGGCCGTCGTGTCTGGTGTGATATCCCTTCTGGGTAAGGGTGTCGATGACTTTGGCGGAAATTCACGATGTGGAGGGAAGTTGTTTTTATTATATTGTAGTTTCACCACCCTAGTGATATGAAAAACACATTTTACGACTACTACAGGCCGCGATTATCGCGTTTATCACCGAGTTTAACGACGCCGCTTCACGTAAAACGGGTGGTGAAACTCCACTGTAGTTTCACCCTAGTGATATGAAAAACGCGGTGTTGCAGAGTGTTATGTGGAAGTAATCGTTTTGTGTTGAAATTCGGGCGCTGTTTCACTTGAAATTCGTCACTTGAATTTCATGTTCGCTTTTTCTTCCTGAAAAAAAAGAAACCCGGAAAAAATTTTCTGAAAATTCGCAAACCCAGTTGAGAAATTTTTTCGGCTGGGCTTACGAGTTTTCTCATTTATTATAGGAGTTCACATATGAATTTTGGGAAATCAATGAAAATTTGTCAAAATTTCCTCAGAATTTTCATATTGTCGTAGTTGACCATGTGCATATTTCCCCTAGTACTGTTATGATATAGCCACTGATTCGGTCGAGGAGTGGTATCGATTGAAAATACAATTCTTATTACTCTGCTAATGCTGATATATTTTCAGGTTTTAGCATTCTCCTCGTTGCGTTGTTGCGATCACCGCGATATCAGCCGGCAGCACTTCCTGAGACCCGTGTGAGCGATACGGGGAAGGTGCAGAGGAGGCACAAACTCGACTGATTATCTGTTGTGGTTTCTGAGCTGATCTATACGAGCGTATCAAATACTGTTTACACTGTATTGCAGTTAACGTGGGTTTGGTTGTAGTTGTTATTACGGGGGAGGGAGGCCGGCATGTTCTCAGGAGTTGAGGAAATTATGGTATGGAGAATTAATGGTGGCGAATATTATGCTGGGTGAATCGGTGGTCTGTAATTTGGTTTTGGAATTCTATCTGAAAATGTTGTTAAGAATATTCTCAAAAATAGTAATACTTATCGATCTGTCAACGTGAAGTAATGTGGTACTCCATGTAAAGTTAAGACGTTTATTGTTTTCGGCGAGGTGAAATATGAGATATGTTTTTCACTAGTGTTTATCATATCACTAGGGTGAAACTTCGATATTGATAATTGAAATTATGGTATGATTTTATGTATGAGTAGTGATGGTTGTTTTCAACAGCCTTTCGGAAAATTACGGTATGAGAAAATTTATACAATTGAATTTGAAATTTCTTATATATTGGAGTTTCACCCGTGATGTGAAAAACACTAGTGAAAAACACAGTTCACATTTCACTTCGCGAAAAATGCATGTGAGCAGTGAATCTCGCGTAAAACGGGTGAAACTCCATTCTTGCAGTGGAGATTCACTTCAAATGTCGGCCGTGAAAGAGGATCGGCATCCATCGACATATCAGAATTGGTTGCAGAAAAGGAGTAGATTAACGAGAGTGTTCAGGAGGCGATATATAGTATTGGAGGAAAGTGTGGTATACAGCTTTAGAAAGGGTAGTAGTAGTAGTGGGAATTAATATCGTGTTATGATGATATTCAGAATAATAAT